GACAATTTCTATGTATCATGAACCAACTCAAGAAATCAGGCTAGGGTTCATTTGCACACTAGGTCTAGGTTTTGGCTAAAAAGGAGGAAAATGGTTAAGGATGAAAACCCTAGGACTTATTCTTTTCCAAGCATGAATTAAGGTGAGTTAGCAAGCCAATTCCATTCCATGATCATCACTGAGTCAAACCCTAGGCCTAAGACATTATAAGCTGCGCCCAAACAAGCATTGAGGGATTGAAAATTTTGGACAAAAACACAAATCTGAAATCAGTGCTAGACAATCTTTGAAGCCTTAATTTTTGTTCCATAAGCATCCTGGACGATCACTGAACACGTTCCAATTCAAAACATCTTCCAAAACTCCCTGAACTGGTACCCCTAACTCAAACTGTACAGCAAAATATTTGAAATCGTATTCTCCATTGTAAGCATCTTCATTGCATTCCAATAGTATATTCTTGTTCCATATGATGTTTCCAAGCTAACCCTTATATTCAATTTGGTTTTTGCACTGTATATAAGAATCCACCATGCGCGAATCCTAGGGTTACAGTTTTCTCAAATTAGGGATTTTGCCTAGAGGAAAAATTAGGGCCCATGACCACCATGGTTGAACTCAGCATTTTGAGACGAAGAAGAAGATATGCTCGCGACAAATTTATGAGCTACAGGGACCTAATCACTATTTTTTGAAAGACTGCCTAACACCACGGTTGCAAAACCGTTGCTCATTTGTTTTGTTTTACAGGGCATGTGAAGAAGAAGGCATCGTGGCAAGGCGTGGTTCGTCCATTCAAATTTGCGCGCGTTTGACTATTAGGCGTTGGTTTTAATATTTATTATTTGTTAACCATATTATATTAAATGAATTCAAAGTGGCTCAGTGGCCAGGGACACGCGCATGTAACCTCAATGACCTGGGTTCAAGTCCCAGGTCTTGCAAAATTCAATATTATTTTTCATTTCCAGTTTCCATGCAACGCTAACATTGAGACTCACCATACACACTCAGAATCAATTGGCCACGCGTCTTGGAGATCTAATCCAGGGATCAGGATGAAAGCATATCATGGATGCCAGTCAACAAGCCACATATGATCCAGAAAGTCAATGATTCACAATGCAAATGGACCAAAATCACCAGGCCTACACCTCCAAATTTGGGACCACACCCCCTTGGTTTGCTTTATCATTTTTATTTTTATTCTTTCTTTAATTTTTTCTTTTATTTCTTATACTTGCTATTTATTTAATTAATTAGTTTATTTTTCTACAAAACATAAAAAACATTCAAAAAAATCAGAAAAGTCAAAAATTTTAATAATTATTTTATTTTAAATATTGTTTTTTTGTATAAATAATAACATGTAAAATGTTTAGTTTAATTAAGTTTTCAACTTTAATCCTTTTTAATAAAAATCAAAACAAAAACATAGAATTAGGTTAATGACTTTTTCCTTTTAACTTTCCTTGTTTTTTGCCATAGTATTAGTATTTTTCATAATTAAACTAGGGTTGCATTTTAGGTTAGATTTTAATACTTTCTTAATAACTAAAAATCCAAAAAAATAGAGTTTAGGTTTAATAACTTTTATTTTCTTTTTTAATTTTCCTTTTATTTCAGAATAATTAAATTAAAAATTGTACATAAATTAATTTAGAGTTAAATTAGGTTAAAAGTCAATATTTTCATAATAAACTTAAAAAACATTAGAATTAGCATTTTAATTTTAATTAATTTTTTCCTTTTTCTTTTAAATCTAAAAAACACAAAAATACCATTTTTCATTTAATTTTAATTTTAGATAACTTATTTATTTTAATTCCTTTAAAGGGTCCAACGCCCTCGCATTTGATTATTTTCTTTTTTCGCGCGTTTCATTTATTTCTTTTGTGAATATAATGTACCTGTACCAAAGCCATGTAATAACTATTAGAAATTTCTTTTCTGCAATTTATTTTAAAATGGGTCTGGATTAATTTGGCGTTGTAGACCCTCGCCTTTGTAATAGCGTAGGACTTTTATCTTTTCCGCACTTTAAATTCCCGCACATTTAACTGTTAAACAATGACATGAAAGAATGAATGCCCAAAAATAAAATCGAATCGTTAGATCACCAATGCATGACAAGACAAACAATAAACTGAAAATGACACACAATTCGCACACACCACCCCTAGGGTACGCCTCACTGTTGCCTTTCGAAAGGTGATCATCGAGTAGAGGATATTTTAGTAAGTCCTTGTGTCCATTGATCTAGTTGCCTAAAACAAAGTTGCCTCGGAATAAAAAGATCAATGGCATAAGGGTAGCTTCTAAGGTGTCTTCCCATTGCTCTGGTGATCACCACGTCCCTAAAACTCGAATTGACCCGAACACCTCCAACGGTGGTGCTACCTACCTCTCAATGGTGGGATGGCACTACTTTAAAGGACATTTACACAGACGAATTCCTTAGGGTAGGTAGGTTCTCGTAGATACTTGCTCTCTTCTTCAAACAAATCAAAATACTTTTCACACCAACACCTTTCAAAAACTTTCAAAACAAACTTTTCAAACACTCTGACGTATGAGTTAAACTGAAACTTTTCAAAGAATATTTTTGAAACCCACATTGAAAAGCAAACAAACAATTTTGAAAACACATTGAGCAAGTACCTAAGAGCCCATGGATAACCATGGATAGAAAGGGTGCTAACACCTTCCCTTTCTATAACCTACCTCCCGAACCGAGAGCAATCTCTTTAAGGAATTTTTCTGTGCTTTTGTCCTTTCCTATTGGAGAAAATAAAAGACGGTGGCGACTCTTGCTTCCGCGACATTTCGCGAACCAGCTTTAAAACAGTCAGTTCCAGATCCACCGATCACAATGTGTCTCGGGGCATAGGCCCTCGGGATTTTCTAATATAGCTCTGGCAGGGTCAATGTATATGTCAGGCCGGATAAAAAGTTTTTCAAATTATTTTTATTATTTTATATTATAAAAAAATAATTATATAGTTTTAAAAATTAAGTATATAAAATACAATAAACTTGATTAAGATTCTATGGAAATTATTTTCTAATAACCTACTTGTCTTTAATATGGGAGGTGTCGTCACTTTAGTTAGAGTCATGTGATTGTTTGGTACTAGGTACCTATTCCTTAATGTCTCCCTCATTTAGCTCGACTTTATTTTTCTTGCCTTTGATGTAGCATTCCAAAGCTTCAAAGTATGTGATCGGAGGAAGGAAAAGAAGTAACCCTAGTAATATTCATAAATCATGAAAAACACAATACTTGTCTTTAATATTAGAGGTGTCGTCGCTCTAGTTAGAGTCATGTGATTGATTGGTACTAGGTACCTATTCCTTAATGTCTCCCTCATTTAGCTCGACTTTATTTTTCTTGCCTTTGATGTAACATTCCAAAGCTTCAAAGTATGTGATCGGAGGAAGGAAAAGAAGTAAACCTAGTAATATTCATAAATCATGAAAAACACAATACATGTCTTTAATATGGGAGGTGTCGTTGCTCTAGTTAGAGTCATGTGATTTTTTGGTACTAGGTCCTATTCCTTAATGTCTCCCTCATTCAGCTCGAATTTATTTTTCTTGCCTTTGATGTAGCATTCCAAAGCTTCAAAGTATGTGATCGGAGGAAGGAAAAGAAGTAACCCTAGTAATATTCATAAATCATGAAAAACACTAGGTATAGATATAGAACGATAGAGAGAGAGAGAGACCGCCACAAGACTTTTTTTTATTTGATTGTATAGAGAGATGGGCTTGCATGTTAGTCGATCTAAAAGTGCATTTTGATGATTGGTTGGTGTTAAGGAATTGTTCTTTAATGTATCGTGCCTTCAGTTTGACGTTATTTTTCTTGCCTTTGATGTAGCATTTTGTCCCTGCAACTCTTCGTTTGGCTTCTGGGCTCGTTGAACCAAAATCCTCAAATTATGTGATCGGAGGAAAGAATATAAATATCCCCAGTAATATTCACCAACTTGCATATAAGTGTGTTTAGGTGATTTTCTACTAATCATGTTTATTTAAAAAAGTAACGGACTATGCACGAGGTCCCACATTGTTCACATCACCACGTTTAGAGAAATAACCACCTGTTAGCGGTAGTCTATTTATATCCATTAAGTGTTTATTACACTGCCGCTAGCGATAGGGATAACATGTTGTGAATTAGTGATTTAGCTCATTGGGTGGAACCTTCTTTCTGGGTGTACAACAAGATATAAGATATGGATGTATTATTCATTTTTAATGTCATTATATTCCTTTTAAACATTCATGACATGTTTGATGAGTACTAAATTTTTTATAATCCTGAATTGGACTCACATAATCGTAGTCTTTTACATAGATTAAAAAAGTTAAATGATCCTTATGACTTCAAATTTTAGCATGAACCACTTCATAACATGCAATAAACTTGATTAAGATTTTATTATAGAGACATATAAGTGAAATTTTTTGCTCAATAACCTCTTTCATCTTACTCTGGAGGTTATTGAATACCTATTTCTCAGTGAGTCATGTTTTGACTGCATCAGAGTTGTTAATCCAGTTCGGTGCAACATCACCCACTCTAGAGGCTACCAAGCCAAGAAGGAAGTCCACTATCAGCATTGTTAGTTCAAGGCTAAACAGTCTTAGTTTATAACATCTCGCCTAATCTGTATATTGTATTCCAAAATTTTTCTCGAATTTTCTCATTTGCATTCTGTTATCAGATTAATTTTTCATTTCACATCTTTGTATTTTTCGCACATTTATATTTATTGTCGATTTAAATCATTATTCATATGGATTTGTACAAATAATATTATTTAAGTATTTAAAAAATGTGTATATGTCTTTTATTTTATTGTTATTGAAATTTGGTTTTAGTTTAAATTTATAAAAGGATTTATATTTAATAATTTGTTTTTTTTTGTTTTTTTTTGTTTTAATAATAAGGAAATAGTATATTTTTCCTTTATTTTTCCTCTACAACTCACCCTTTTCATCTTCCTCATCTCGCCATCTACTACCATCCTCCACGCTCCAAACAACCTATCAAATACTCTCTCCGCCGGAATCTCAAACCTGACCACCATCAAATCACCATCATTGACTGCCGGTTCACCACCATCCTCCGTCTGAAGTTCCAACACCAATCGCAATTCGTTCTTCCGCAAGCTTCTTCAAATCCTCTCGTCTCAGTTCATCATCTTGACACATCCGTTCCATCGTCAATTGTCTCAGCTCGACGCGTTTCACTTCCTCCATCTCAGCAAGCCGCGTTTCCAAACGCGTTCAGCTTTGACGCCGCGACTCTATACTGTTCGGTAATCCGAGGTAAACTTTTTCCTCAAATTACTGTTGTTGGGTGATGTTTGAATATAATTGATATTGTTATTATTGTGAGTTGTTTATGAATTGGTATGACATTGTTGTTGTTCTAATTGTGTTGGTGTTAGTGTTAATATAGTTATATGAGTTGTTGTTGATATTTGTTTGAAATATTGAAGTGTCGGTGATGATGTTGTTTCGTTTGTTTGAGTCATTTGGTTGATGTCGGTGTTTACTCGTCAGTTTGGAATCACTTTGGAAATTGATTTTCATTAGCTTTTAGGTATAGTTTGTTGCTGTTCAGATTTTGATTTGCATGAATAATGTTTGTTTAAAGCTTGGTTTTTTATGTATTGGACTTGAATTGAGTTAATGCATTCATTTAATTCAATCTCTACTGTTCTACTTTCACTTTTCTATTTAATTTATTAGTTCTATATAGTTTTAATTAATTGATGTTTGTTAATTAAAAATAGATTAATTTACTAATTTTTTTTTAATTTGATGAATTAGTCTAATCGATGTATAACTAATAGATTCTTAAATTTTTTTTTAATTTTTATCTCCATTCAGTAAATTGTATCCAACTATCGTATTTGTGATGTAATTAATTTATCGATTTTCTCTTTTTTTAATTCTCATTCATAAACATTGCATCCCTCTTCCTTAAAATTGTAATAGCTAACAATTATACTGTTTTTTGTTTGTTTATTTAATCATTACTTACACAAACCAAAAATCTTTTTAAATTAATATTCAATTGTGAATCATTTTAAACCCGTAAGTCGACAAAGTTATAAGCGTCGTAATAACCACACAAGCACACTTACACGCTGGTTCCTGGGCATTCTTACTGTATGAACTATTCGATCAATTGTGCCAATTGGTCGTCTAGAGGCTAGTTCACTTCGCTAGCTTACACATAGAAACTAGGACATGTGCTTTACAACTTAAACTTGTGTGGGCCGCCATGTATGGGCTTTTACCGATTTATTTGTTATACTTTCATGTTATTTACAAATTATTCGCTTTTATTCCATATCTCGCGCCTTGGTCCACATACCAAGTTCTTTCATTGGGGTTTCATAGTAGAGAGTAGGCTTGGCTATTCTCTCGAGGTTAATCAAGTCACGTGGCTTGGTTAATTATGACCCAAATCCTTCTTAATCCATTCACCAAGCATCTAAAACACTTTCCTAACAAACTTTCAAACCTCAATCCAAAGTCGAGTCTTTTTTCTTTTTCTCTTTTTCAAATAAAAGGGTCTCATGGTAGGGAGTAGACACTTGTCTATTCTCTTGAGATTAATCGAGCTTTCTTGGTTAATCATAACCATTCTTTTTATGACCTTTCATAATAAAAGTTTCAAACCTTAATTCAAAGTCGGGTGACTTTTTAAATAAAAAAGGCCTCATAGTAGGGAGTTTATACTTGTCTATTCTCTCGAGATTAATCAAGATTTATTTGTCAGTCATAGCCCGATTAAAATACCTAAATGGAAGGGATAAGAAAATTCTCTTACACTTTCCCAACTTAATCAATGATAATTAACTTCGCTTGGACTCGATTTCTCACTTTTTCATAACGAGGACTAAATGGGATAGTTAAGGTAACTACCTTTTCTTTTCCTAAGTGTGCGGTTGGCCAAGAACTTCCTTGGACATATCCAAGCTCTCGTATCCAATAAAAATAATCCAACCTCATTTAAACAGTTTTTCCGCTTGGATTTTACACTTTAAAACCTTTTCAATAAGGGTGATTTTCTGTCCATCTGTGACGATGAAGCAATGTTCCTTACACATGTTAAGCCTTTTCCACTCGAATGCGATGATGGAAAGAGTTCGTGCATAATATAGACTCAGTCATCCATTCTTGAAGTGATGCAATCGTTCCATTATCCATGTATCAGGCAACAATGTTTCCGTTCGAATGTGATCGAGTATCTCTCACTAAAATGAACTAACCCACAAATATTTGTTACTCGAACTACGATACTCTGATTTTCCTATTGCACTATGGGGGTACGTAGGCAGTAGGTCTCACGACCAAAGGCGACAACAATAATAAAAAAAACAAAAACATTTCTCCTTTCTCTCTTTCTCTCTTTCTCCTTTAACTTAGAAGATAGAATTTTTTTACATTAACACACAAACACATAGTAACTAAATGGGTACCATCGAGTACGATGGATGTGAGGTGTGCTAATACATTTCCCTTGTATAACCGACTCTCGAATCCATCTCTTTGGTCTCGTAGACTATCTCTTTTCTCTTGTGGGTTTTACACGATATTCCCTCTTTCCTCTTAGGAATAAATAACTCTCGATGGAGACTTCATTGAATCGAATGTAAGTTTTCGAGGCGCTAAACCCTACCCAATGAAACTTCTACCTAGGCACCTTCTATATATGAGAAATCTCCATCTCAACTTCCTAAATCTTCTCAGTGATATCTAACAGTCTCAATCCTAGTGACTGTATCGAGTATAACTCAACAAAATATCATACTTCCATTACAATACTTAGGCAAGACTCTTGACTACGATCAATACTTGGATTTTCTTAAAAGCTTCATCCAATAATATTACTTACTCATTTCCTAAAGGCTTCTGAGTGAGGATATAATGTTGACCACAAGTATCAAAAGATACAAGGGTGACTTACACCATATAATTCACAAGAGACTCTCAAAATCTAAGACTATTTTTTCTTCCCCTAATTTTACAATTGTTGAAAGAACTTATTACATTAGGTTAGGATTCCCCTTTAAATACGCCTCTTCAGTCCATGGACTTCGAATTCTGCATCCAGATATTTCTTGATCCACAAGCTAAGTGATGCATAATTGTGTAGCAAATCTTCTTAAATCTTGAAACAACCAATACAAAGTTTCCTAAATTGTCTCAAGGTCGAATTTAGTAACTAATGTACAACTGGAGATATAAAATCTTTTTCATATTAAATCTTCTTGACTGCGAAATATACTGAGATATATCCAAAAGGAATATCACGAAATCCAATCAAATATGCCAAGATTAAAACAACAACCTCTGTTGTACCAGACCAATATGTCATGACATCTGCTTCGACATCTAGCTGAGAAAACTCATAACAGTAAAACTGCTATGACAGTTGACAAGAATGCTGTAACATCTTGATCAACAATAGTAGAACCATGTTTTAGAAAAATCATGTCAACCTTAAAACCATATAACTAACAATCTCCCCCTTTGACAAATTTTGGCTAAAACAACCAAAATTCCATATACACTTGGAGAGAGGAATATCACCACACATGAATGGAACCACAGAGGAATAAAGCCACAAACCAAACTGCACAAAACATGTATCAAAGATACAACAGTTACACAATAGAAGCTACATGCTAAACATGTAAACTTTGTACATGAGGAAGAAGATGAATATTACTCCCCCTCAAACATAGAACCAGATCTTGTTACAGAGAGATAAATCTCACCCTTAAGAACACAACATATTAGAAGGACATGCAACAAAAGTTGCGTACATAACTTAGAGCACAGAACACAACAATGCTCACAACTCGAACCATAAGACATAACAAACAGGATGTTACAACATTCTATAGGACATTCGGCTAACAACTACAACAAAAGCAGCTGTAGTAGAAACAATACACAGACAGACAGACTCAAACAACCCTAAAGTGTTGCATAAAGAAAACAACACTTGATTAGACTCAATAACACCCTTTTTCCCACTTTTTAGCTAAAAATTGATAAAATTGAAGAGATAACTTTTGAGCATTTCCCCAGAGAGGAGAATCAGCTAGCGGACGCACTAGCCACGATGTCTTCAATGTTCAAAGTTAAATGGGACAATGAGGCTCCCCGAATCATTATCTGGAAGTTGGATGAACCGACATACTGCTGTGAGCTCGAGGCTGAGAAGGTGACTTAAAAACCCTGGTATCACGAGGTAAAGAGGTACTTGGAAGCTCAGGAATACCCTGAAGGTGCATCCGTCAATGATAAGAAGTTCATGAGAAGGTTTGCTGCAAAATTCTTCCTCAGCAACGGCATTCTCTACAAACGGAATCATGATTCGACTCTGCTGCGTTGTGTGGATAAGGCTGAAGCGGAGAAAATCATGACGGAACTACATGAAGGTACATATGGAACACATTCCAGTGGACACACCATGGCTAAGAAAATCCTTCGGGCAGGATATTTCTGGTCCACAATGGAAGCCGATTGTTACCGGCACTCCCGAACTTGTCATAAATGCCAGATCTATGCTGACAAGGTGCATATCCCTCCGGTTCCTTTGAATGTCCTGACGGCACCTTGGCCTTTCGCAATGTGGGGCATCGATATGATCGGTGAGATCCGACCAACGGCATCCAATGGGCATCGCTTCATCTTGGTAGCAATCGATTACTTCACAAAGTGGGTTGAGGCAGCATCCTATGCCACAGTAACCAAGAGCGTCGTGGCACGTTTCATCCGGCATAATCTGATCTGTCGGTACGGCGTCCCGGAAAGAATCATTACGGACAACGGTACCAATCTCAATAACAAAATGATCACTGAACTCTGTGAACAATTCAAGATACAGCACCACAATTCTTCTCCCTACCGGCCGAAGATGAATGGGGCTGTAGAGGCAGCCAATAAAAATATCAAGAAAATTGTGCAGAAGATGACAGTGACCTATAAAGATTGGCACGAGATGTTACCGTTCGCTCTTCATGGGTACCGCACCTCAGCAAGGACATCAACCGGGGCAACTCCCTTCTCCTTGGTCTATGGCACGGAGGCAGTCTTGCCAATCGAGATCCAGATACCCTCTCTCCGGATAATGAAGGATGCAGACTTGAACGAAGATGACTGGATCCAGACTCGACTTGATCAACTAAATCTGATTGACGAAAAGAGGCTCACTGCTATCTGTCATGGTCAAACGTATCAAAAACGGATGATCAGGGCATTTAACAAGAAAGTCAGACCGCAAGAGTATCAAGTTGGGGACCTGGTAATCAAACGCATCATCCTTCCTCAAAGT